TACATGCTACATTGGTATAATGAGGGAGGTTGGGGACCTACACAACCTACTCTTCCATATACATCTTTTCTCATGCATAGATTAGAACAATAGAGAAATCTTCCTCCCTTAAAAGAGCAATTGGTTTTCTTGGTGTAAACCCAACTTTATACTGAAATCACTCAATTAAAAGTAATTCTACCAGTGAGAAAAGAGAATGTGGCAAGGGAATTAGGAGGCATCCCTTTCATCTGTGATGTTTTATTTCTTATGCTGAATGATGAATTAATGGATTACATTATGTTATTTTTATACTTTTTGGTACATGTGAAACATCTCAGCATTAAAAAAGGATCTCCCAGGTGAAGGGTAAGAATTTTAGACTTTGGAATCACAGAGACTTAAGTTTAAGCTTGGGTTAGCCTGTATCACAACTGTGTTTTTTGAAAAAGTTTCTCAACCACAGATCAATTTATTTATCCTTGAAGTGAGAATACAGCGGTACCCACTTTATAGGGTTGTTTTCTGGATTAAAGGATTTAATGCATTTACAATGCTTACTGCTTGACACACTGCACTCAAGACATAGTATGTATATACTTATGCATGAAGTGCAGGTTATCTCCTATACGTCTGTGTAGTATAATTAGTCCCTTTAAAATTTATTGGCTATATCATCCTGGCTAAGTCATTTAAACCTCCAGAAGTCTAATTCTTCATCTTACAAAGTGAAAAGAATTAGATTACCTATCCTGTCTTTATTATGAGATCTCTAGGAATATTAAATGCAATAGTGTGTAAAAACACGTTGAAATATTTGAAGTCATCATACAAAATTAAAGCATCTTTTAAAAAATTAAAACATTTTTTAAGTTACCATTTATTCATTCATTTAACTTTGTTGTTGTTGAGAATCTGCTGCTGTACTGGACACTCTGCTACATTCTGTGACTATAGAAATGATTTTTTAAAAATATGTGTTTTCTACCCTCATGCCCTTTTAGGGTCCACAGCATGGTGAAGAGGACCAACAGTAACTAGGTACCTTAGTCAGCTCAAGCTGACTATAGATTGGGTGGCTAAAATAACAGAGAGACATTTCTCACAGTTCTGGAGGCTGAGAAGTCCAAAATAAAGCCAGCAGACTCAGTATCTGGTGGGGTCCCTCTTCCTGGCTTGCAAAAAGCTACCTTCTTACTGTGTCTTCAGTTAGTGGAGAAAGAGAGAGAGCTCTGGTCTCTTCCTCTTTTTTAAGGACCCTATTCCTATCATCAGGGACCCCACTGTTATGACCTCATTTAAATCTATTTCCCAACAGCCCCACCTCTAAATACTATCACGTTGAGGGGTTAAGGCTTTAACATAGGGATTTGGAGGAAACACAAACCATGCATAAAATTAAGGAAAATGGAGAGAGGAAATTATTTGCCAAGGCTTTATAGTGGGAAGGAGTAAGGTAAATCATGAGGACATAAAGACTCCTCCATGCTACTGTAGAGAGGTGGGAAGTAGATGCTGTGGTGATACGCTGGAGAAGCAGGAGTGGACAGTCAATAAAAAACTTTTTAGACCATGTTGAAGATGCTGGTCAAAGAAATCATTGAAGTTATCTTAAACATAATGTTATGTGGCCAAATCTATTGTACAAGGTCATTCTAATGGCTGTGTAATGACCAGATTAGAAAGAGGGAAGAAGGGAAGTGGGAAAGAAGGAAGAGTTTTCATTAGTCCAGAAAGAGATCCTAGGAGTTTGAAATAGAGTGGAGGTGGGGTGATATTGAGGACTGAAGAGTGGGTAATGGATTGGATTTGGGTTGGAATAGGAAGAAGAGTTTCCTGCTTCACTGACTAATATTAAAGATCCCAGCCTATGGATGAAAGATTTGATGTAAAGTTTTAAAGGGCAACACTTTATTGAAAGATAAATTAATTCGTTTATTCAAAATGTATTTATTGAATTCCTAATGACAAAATACTGGTCATATAATAATAAACAATAGACAGATGCAATTCTGCTCTTATAGAACTTGCAGCCTAATAAGGGAGAACAAATAAATAGATTAAATGATCTTAATTATGATAACCCTGAATCATTTTCCTGTGGCTACCATAACACATGACCACAAACTTGGTGGCTTAAACAATAGAAATTTATTCTCTTACACTCCTGAAGTCCAAGAAGTATCACTGGGTTGAAATCAAGGTGCCAGCAGGGCTGAGGTTCTTTGAAGTTTCTAGGGGAAGAAACCACTCTTTGCCTCTTTGAGCTGCTAATGGTTGCTTGCATTCCCTAGTCTGTGGCCTCATCACTCTAATTTCTGCCTGCATGGTCTCTGTCGCCTCCCTGGCTGTGGTAAAGTCTTCCTCAGCCTCCCTATTACAAAGACACTTGTGATGGCATTTAGGTCTCATCTTGGGAACTCAGGATAATCTCCCCATCTCAGGATCTTTAACTGGAACACAGTTGCAAAATCCTTTTTTGCCGCATAAAGTGACACATATTACAGAAATTAGAGCATGGATATCTTTTGAGCTGCTATTTTTAAGCCTACCACATTCCCTATGAAGGAAATAAACTTGAAACTATGATGAAGAATAATGATAAGGATTTACCTGATGGCTGGATGGTAATGATAAGGACGACTAGAAAGCTAAATTGAAGAGATAAACTGAAACCTGATCATTTAGGGCCTTGTAGGTGTCCAAATTTTATTCTAAATTCATCGGTAGCTCATCCAAGGAATTGAATTAGAAAGAGGATGTAATTTGATTTACATGTTTATAAAGATAATTGTAACTGCTGTAAAGAAAATTGATAGGAGATGAATGACAATGGAAGCAGGGCAACATGCCAATGGGCTACTGTGGTCATAAGGGTAGGAGAGAATGATGATTAGAACATGGTGGTGACAGTGGAGACGTAGCATCATGGACAAAGTGGAGATTCCCATTAGAGATAAAATTATATGTATTTAGATTGATTAGGTGTAGAGGGTGAGAAGAATAAAGAGGAATAAGGGGTGATACTTAGATTTCTAACTTTAACAATTAAATAGCTGATGGTGTTACTCACAGACATGGGGAAGAGAAATACAGAAGGGAATAGAAGTTCTGCCTTGGAAATGGGAATCTCAGATGACCATGAGGCTATGAAGCTGTCAAGTAGGCAGAGGGTGAAGAGGTTTAGATCTCAGGGTAGAGATATGGGACAAAAATATAAATGGGGGGATATTTAGTATAGAGATATAATAATTAAAACAATGAGAATGGATTAAGTCACTTAGAAGGAGTTGTATGGAGAGTCCAAGGCAAAACCTTGAGAAATTCCAATACTTAAGTTTAGATAATGGAGGAAAAAGCCAGCAAAAGAAAGTTAGAAAGAATGACCAGTGACAGAATGGGAAACACCCAGAAGAGGATATTGTCATGGAAGTCAAGAAAGGGGAGTGTTCCATTAAAGAGGAAAGAAAGGACGTGCCCTTTGTATTTGGCAACATGAGAAGAGCAGTTTCACTGGAATGATGGGACTGAAGCCAGGGTGGACTGATGAGCTAATGGGAGAAGGAAAATTGTGGATACAAGTGAGGAAATTGAGACAGCAGAAACTTTTCTGGAAGTTTTTCTGTGGAGGGAATCAGAAAATAAGAGATTTAACAAGGCAGAGACTTTAATTCTAAAGGGAGATACCACTAGGGTACAGTTGTATATTTTCTGAATAGGGATAATACAATAAAGAGGAAGAAAGTCAGTGACATAGCGAAAAAATGCCTAAATTAGTCCCCTGGTGACTGTGTAATGGAGTAAAGGATTAGCACACTTTTCAGCAGTCCCATCAACTCTCCATCTCTCTGATTTCCACCTGTGTTCTGACTGTCCCCTGGGAAGGAGACAGAGCTCTTTTACTGTTAACCAAAGAGACCATGTCTATCTGAGAGGCTATACCATACCTGATAGCTTTCTTAGCAGTCACTTTCATTTATTTGCTCTTTCCACTTAAGAAGTCCTGAAGGTTCTTTTATGAATTAAGAGGAATTTTCTTAAAATCATTTTTGATTTCATCCCCATACATCACATGTCTTGCTAGCAATAATTCGGCCAGCTCTGTTTCCTGGGTTCCAGCATGAGGTGCAATGGGAGGGCGGTACTTGTCATCAGATGTTCCCAGGTGCCTTTAGAACAGGAGTAGTCCAAGACGTCACACACAGCACCCCCACCCCACTGCCCCTCCCTGTCCTCTTCCCCTCCTCCACGTGTAGCTCCCCACAGTATAGCACTCCATGCTTCATCCTATCTAAAGTTGGACTATTTTCCGCAGGTAAATCTATAGGCAGGCGTTTGGCTGGAGAGGAGCCTTCAGAGCACTGAACACTCCAGCCTCCAGCCCCCAGCTTTACCTCTTCGCTCTCCTGCCTCGCGACGAAAGACGTCAGGGCTTGACTGCCAGACTAGCCACTTACTGCTCTGACACCCCAATCACTAGCTTCCTTGTCTTCTTTGTAAAAATAAAATTTAAAATGTGCCTGAAGTATAGGAGGTAGTTGTTACTAGCAGATGTCGAGGAAGAACTGGAGATTGTGGCTGTGCTCCACGAAGACATAGAATTCGTATTTTCAGTGACTCAAGCTGCCGTGTCATTGGGAAGGGATAAGGTTAGCAGAGGACAGAGCTCTCTTTCCTCTGTCCATTCCTTCCTGGGGTTTGAATTTGAACAGTCCTGTGATTTGTAAGTACCACCCCTTATGCTCCCCGTGTTAACCTTGAACGTCCCCAGTCAAAGAATCTGGTGATTACCTCCCCATGCCAAGGAGAGCGTATGTGACAGGGGACCAGGAAATGTCAAGGTCAAGGTCATATTTTACCAAAAAGATTAGAAAAAAAAGCCCCAAGGTCCAGGCCATGTTCCCAAAGATTCTCACCTGAAAAACAGACAAAAAATAAAAGACATGGTTTTTGGTGTTTGGTTCTGAGAGTTAAAACATATAGTAGGTCAAACGTCCATTGTTGCAACCACAGGACAAAAATCAGGCTTGATAATGATGTTCATGAACCTGTGACATGGCAGTGCCCCAGAGGAACCCGATTAAGTGTTGCAGTTAAGAGCCAGCTGTCCCACGGGTATAGATTCTGACCTGTGTGCACACTGAGGCGGTTTGGAAACACTTCTAATCCTGGGTGAGCTTGGCAACTCAGCCATTCCTAGTGACAAAATCAACAACCCCAAGGAGAGTACTAATGCCAGACTTAACTACCTTCGTCACAACCTGGCCACAAAGGAATCGGCATTTATATTTTGGATACTTGTATTTCAAATAACAATTTTAGCTTAGGAAAACAAATCTATGATCATGGGGAAAGCTTTTTATTTTTTTTTATAACTTCTCTAGCAATGGTAGAATCCCTTATCTCAACAGTACACATTTAGACTTGCCTAGAATATTCTGTATTTTTCTAAGATACGCTCTTGTTTAGTTGTTACCTTAACTGCTGGGATGACAAGGTGGAGTGATGTTTAGAACCCTTATAATGATGGGCGACTGGAGTGTAGAAATGGGAATGACTTTCCTCTGTTGAAGAGTGTTCTGAAATGCAGGGCTGACATTCTGATTCTCAAGTAAGGACTACATACTCCTCTTATAAGCAGGGATATAACTTTCCAACTACTAGTAGGTGAAGCTGAAAGCCCATAGTCTTTCTACAACACTTCAAAGGAGAATCTGGATCAACCAAGATGATACCTGTTTTGAAATGTAGCTATGAAGCCACTTCCCATATATTCAGAGGCCATAAGCCAGACTGCATACTCCTTAAGCTCTCTAGTATGTCCCTCCTCCTGTTGCTTTTCACTGATCAGTTAGCATCTACTTGGGAAGAAGCCAAAATAAGCAGAACAAAGATAGTGACATGGCAGAGAGAGGACATCCCAACCAGGGACACTGCCCCTAAATGCTCTACTTCAAGGGTGTGTTTTGTTTGTTGTTGGCTTCTCTTTCATTCCCAGAGAGAGCCCTTCAGAGCCTCAGCAGATGCCACTTTCAACTGTGGTTTCATGCAGAGGATGACCTGTCAAAAGTGCGTGGAGTAAATGCAAGTGAAATGGAGCAGATACTGTAAGCTGCCAGGAGAGCAGAGGCTGCACTTTATTACATGACCAGATTCTGACAAGGGAAAACCAGAAGGCTAGGAATCCAAGTGGCCATGGTGACTTGGCAGCTAGGCCTCAGGCCATGAGGCAGGACACCAGGGTTCAGGCAGACAGCATTTCACTGAAGCTCCAGGTCAGCTGAATCATACTGGAATATGAGATGGGAAATACAAAACCAGGTCAGATGCTCCATTTAGCCGGGGCCAGAGAAAGACCACAGTATTCCTTGAGACTTCTTCTCCAGTGTTCCTCAAGGCCAAGCAGCACCTAGAGGGCCCAAAGGGTTTTAGCAATTCTTGGGGAGGATAGTCCCTGCCCATCAGAATGAAAGCATTCCTGGACATTCAGGAGCCAGTTTCCCAGGTCAGTTGTACCTCTTGCTCTGTGTCCTTAAATCACAACCAGTGGCTTACCTTTCCTCCTTGGTGTTTGCACCTTTCAAATATTTACTCTTTCTTCTTTATTCTCAGGCTCTCTCATGGCCTAGGTCAAGTCATTAATGAGTGAACAAATGTTTGCCAAAATGTATGTCTCTGTGTTAGTTACTGAGCAGGGAATACAAAAGTTAGGGGCCACTGGCTCTTCCCACAAGGGGGCCTTTTCAACGTGCTCTGGTCGGTATACATCACTGTTGTCACTATTACAAGATAAGATAGTCGAGAATAAATACCGAATAAGAGGACACAGTGGTGTAGTCTTAGAAGCTCAGATTGCTGAACTGATTAGACAGAGTAAATCAATGTTGACTCATTGAGGTCCAATAGGGCTTTCTTTTAACCGCTGAAGTGGTCGTATTTCAGGTGTGTCTACAAATACAGAATGACTCTAATTCTTCCTCCTTGTTATGCTATCATAAGCATTGGAAGAGGAAAATCATCTATGAAACAGTTGCTTGGTGAGCACTTATCCTAAAAACTAGTTTAGTTTCTTGGGGGTGGGAGATGTGGGAGAGGATGGGCTGGAGGACTGAGCCAACTCAGGCAGCCAAACCTAAGAGATCTTTAGCATATTAATTATGCTTTGCCTTATATCGATTTTTGAAGCCATCTTATTTGTTAGGTTTATGTTCTTGGCTTCCTAGAATAGTAGCTTGCTCATCTTAATGTATCACATTGCATCTAGTACATTGCTTACCTTGTAGGGGCCAATCTACAAAGGTCTCTGAGCCTCTGGGCACACGGTTCCCCTTCCTGAAAGCTTCTCCTAGCACTGCTTATTCCTGAAACTTTTGCTAGACTAACTCACGTCTTCCATTTTCAGGTTAGACATCACCTCCTCTGGAAGGCTTACCTGATCCTCCCTGCAGATGTTCTAGCTAGGCATTCCTCTGCTGGGTTCCCACAGCATCCTTTCATCTTCCTGGGCAAGACACTCATATCACTGAATTATGGCTTCTTCCACTGCGTTGTAAACTTGATGGCAGGAACGGGGTCTTGAGTTCACATGCCCAAAACAATGTCTGGCCCAGCGTGGAAGCTCAATAAAAAAATCACTGTTTTAATGAATGAATGCATGAAAGAGTGAATGAATAAAGGTAGATATCATGGAGGCATGGAAACAAATGTTTTGGTTGTGTTTTGAGCTCCTTTTCTATCCCGCAAATCTGCCCCCTTCTTTTGGCAATGGGGTTCCTCTCATCTGCCTCCACCTGGGAGGTCTCATTTGAGTGATTTGCAAGGAAGAAGTACAACCTTCAGGATGTTTATTAGACCATCCTCTCCCACTGTACTGGCTGTTACTTCACAGAGGTGGAAGACTGGGCAGGTTACGACTCACAAGAGTCTTCCCACTGTGGCTCTCTTTCATTTCCAGCCAATTGACAAATCCGTATTGACTTTTCTCAGTGCACGTTCACTGTTGCACTTGGCTTAACAAAAATCTTTACAGCCACCCTCTGATTGAATTTCTACTGTTTTGCCAACTTACGTGTGAGGGAACTGTGTTATGTAACGTGCAGGAGTTCAGGCCAGGCTAGTGACAAAGATCATTTTTGAACGTGAAGCCTCTGGGTTTACAGGTTGTGGCAGGCTGTTCCCCAGCTGCCCTGGAGGTCTCAGTTCATTGTCTCCTGTCAGTAAGGAATGAATGAGGGAAAATGTCTCCTGAGTTTGGGTTCCTATTGCTTTCTTGGAAAACAAATACCGGATTTTTATAGCTCCTAATTTATTAGCCAAGCCAGCTTGCTGAGTGACTTTGAAAAGTTTTGGAACCAGCTGCTACATTAACAGTGGTCGCAAAGAGGAGAAAATGGGATTATTCACAATGTCAACACTGATTTCCTTTCACCTCTCCACCACCACTCCCATCCCATACCCATCTCCTAAAAGGCATGACCATCTCTCAGAATCTTTAAGGTATTAGAATGCTTTTTTTCTTTTTGGTCTGGGATATCTTGGATTCAACTTTCCCTTCTGCCAGGCTTTACATCTCATCAGAATAGGCACCTTGCCTCCCAGAACTCCCCCTTCTTCGTCTCGCCAAGATTTCTGAAATTCCTCCAACCAGGAACAAAACCTTCCTTTAGCAATCAGTAGGAAGTTTTGAAATCAGGGACAAGAAGCCAACTGATTCAATTAGATATACATCAAATTTGTCCCTAAGGCTCGGGTTTCATAGTGGACAGGGAATCTAGAGGTAGATACTGGTTGTTCTCAAAGACAGAGAAGAAAGGAATAAGACCAGAGAGGTTGTCATGCCCAAACATTGTCCCCAGACAGCTTTCTCACAACAGTGTTCACCTCTGTATCTCTTTTGTCTTCAAACATCACCGTGAAGAAGAAAGTCATGGAATCATTGTGTTCCTTTTGCAGGAACTCACAGACACAGCGGGAACAGCGGCACAAGTGGCCGGTCAGCAGTGCACACCCAGCGCGGCTGAAGCCTTCCCGCTTTGGGGTTATACAAACATGGAGGAAACAAAAGGCAGAAACCACTCACGGTCTTTATTTTCGACACATAGCAAATATTCTTAACCTGCAGGCCGTGTTCTTTAGCTGTCTGAATAGGGTTTCTCCAGGGCAATGGCCTTCTATTCATCTTGCTCTCCCAGAACCTAGCACTGCCTGGTGTTCATTATGTGCATAGTAAATGCTAATTTTATGTTGCTATTTATTCCCTTTGCAATCCTTTGTATTTAATTTAAATAGGGCCTCTAAAGTTTTCACATTGTATTTGTAAAATGTAAGGGTGTGTCATGAAATCTTTGTGAATTATTTTGTCTTTTTATCTGGAACAACTCTCTTATTTGTGACACATTCTCTTTTCCTTAAGAAAATCAGCTAGATAATGTATGTGGAAGAACCTAAATACCTCCAGAGGTAAATGCCACATTTAAGCTATTATCACGACTGCCATTCTTAATATTTTATGAAGAATGATACCAGAGTATTTTGCTTCACTAAATTTAGTGTGGCTGCATGTCTTTGCTCACCCAAGACAGTAGCATGTGTGCCTATTGCCTTGAAGTAATTAATAGATCCTCTTTCACTCTCAGAAGTGTCCCTGTTTGGACAGTTGTTGAAAGTTGAGCTAAGCTACTGCACAATATTGTTGCCTCAGCTTCTGTTCTGTTTGGCCAAGCAGCCTGCCGGGACCTTAAACTGACAGTAGCCCCTCTTGCGAACACACGCTCCAGACAGCAGCCACAGAGGCACAAGCAAATGTGAGCCCTTGATATGACTTCCCCAAGAGACTTGTGATCCACAATCTCGGCTGCCTCCCAGCACCTGTATGCCCACGCGTCCCGTAGATAAGACCCCTGTGGGACTGACCAAAATCCTGCTCTTTTGGTTTGCATTGACCAGTCTGGTTCTAGCCTGGGAACCCGAAAACACTCCACCCGTGAATGCTATTAAAGACATGTGCCCCAGGTCCTGCAGCTCCCGCTGTCTGTGCTCTGCCGGGACTTCCCTGTGCGGCCCCTCCAGGACCTGTGAGTGACACACTTGTCTACTTCATTTTCCCTGGTGGCCAGTTGTTGAACTGTGGCTCAGCATCTGGCACCCAGTGTTCCATTTAACAGACGTAAATTTAACAAAGTCGTAACAACAATAAATTACACAGTCACTGTAAAACGTGTGGAGTCAGATGACTTAGATGCTAGTCCCAGACTGTCCATTTGTGACCTCTCACTAGCATTTACCAACCCCTTGATCTCAGAATGGTAAGTCCCACTATCTTAGCTAAAGCAACTTTATCTTCCTTTACCCAAGTCCTTGTCATCTTATAAACCATTTCATCTTCCTTCCCTTAATCATTTGCTCTTATAGCACCATTTTATTTTCTTCAGAACACTAATCAGTACATAAAATCTTATTATTTGTGTGTTTACTGTATTTCTCTTCACTCCTTGCCCCTCCTGCACACATAATTGTAAGTCCTTAAGCATGGATGTTGTCTTCATCCCACTGGTAGTCCTGGAACCTAGACGCATATACTAGACGTGAAATAAAAATTTGATGGCTGACTAATTAAAGTCAAAGGCTTTTTTAATGCTAAAGAGGGTAGATATTAATAGGAGAAGTTTTGATATTTATCAGAACAGTTGTACTCCTTCATTGTGGTCCGATTGAGTTAGAACAAATCAAGTGGTTGACATTCAGCCTAGCTGAGTCGTAGAAGAGAGTTGGCCAGATGCAAAGAATAAGAGAGCAAAGTTATTTTCTATAGAAAAGGTCAGCCTTCTCTTCTCCCACGTGGAGATGGGCGCACTTTCTTCTTGGTATTTCCCCTTAATGGGATGTCTCTGTACCAAGCCGACTACTTTTCCTTGAGGAATGTCTTTGAAACACGCACTAATATCATCAAATGAGATTCATCTTCCCTTCCCGTTTTAGCTGTTAATTAATGTTTTGGTTTTATCAAAGAAATCTGCCATTGTCGCCATTAACTAGGAGGGGAGATCAACTTTGAGTTTCCTTTTGTTGGTGAAAGAAGTTAAAGGCAAGGGACAGATAATAACCTTCTAAATCAAATCCATTTGGAAGTATTTCCTCTTAGAAAAGTAGATTTTGTAGCACTGGTGAATGAGATGGTTAATTTTATGTGTTAGCTTGATTAGGCTAAGGGGTGCCCAGATAGCTGGTACAATATTATATCTGGGTGTGTTTGTGAGTGTTTTGGGGTGTGTCTGTATCTGGGTGTGTTTCTAGAGGAGATTAACATTTGGACTGAGTAAGCAGATCACCAATGCTGGTGGACATTGTCTAATCCACTGAGGGCCTAAGTAGAACAAAAAGGTAGGGGAAGGGCAAATTTGTTCTCTGCTTGAGCTGGGACATCCATCTTCTGCCTCAAACATCAGTGCTCCTACTCCCTGGGCCTTCAGACTCAGACCAGGACTTTATACCATTGACTTCCCTAGTTCTCAGGCTTTTGGGTTTGGACTAGAACTACACCACTGGCTTTTGCAGGTGGCAGATGGTGGGACTTCTCAGACTCTATAATTGCACACACCAATCTCTCATAATAAATCTGTATCTGTATGTATCTATCCTTTTGGTTCTGTTTCTCTTAAGAACTCTGACTAAGACAACCTACACTGGGCTAATGAGAAAAGGAAAATACTTTGATAAGTTATAGTATAGCTGACTCACTGTGATAGAAGTTTTCATGATAATTTTTTGAAATTTTATCCTTTCTCATAAAGGAGCATATATATTCTATTTGTTAGCTTGCTTTAAAATAGTACAGGAACCGCTGGTTATATGTGACTCAAATGTCATGTGGAGAAATTGGACGAAAGCTAAGGAGATAGTCTGGGCTTTAAAAGTCCACATATTGTTATTCTCTGTAAGTCCTAAGTTCAGACTTCACCAGATTTTAACTAGAAGGGGAAGTCACATTTCCATTTACAACCACATTACAAGGACACCAAGGAGGAAACTCGTACCCCTCATGGTATCCTGTGGTTATTTCTCCTAAGTTCCCAAGGAGAAGCTTTCCTTGTACAAGGCGACCTGTTAGCAGCAGCAATAGTTTGTGACCGCTATGCTTTTTCTTTCCTAATTGAAAACCGGTCTATGGTCTCCAAGAAGCAGCTTGACGGGTCATTTCTTTGTGAGAAATTCAGTGTCCAAGCCTGTAGTAGACATGATGTGTTAGTTCCCCCTCCTCACAGTTGAATTTCATGTCTCAATATTCATACTCTTACTTTAGCGCCCTCCATACAGACCCTGGGCTTAACAACATGACTTGCTTTAGCCAAAAAACTATCAGAAATCAAGATTCAGGTAGAGGATTAATAAGTGTTTCTACCAATGTTGGATGTTCAATGTCTTGTTCTGTTGGAATATTCTTTTTTGGAACCCAGTTGTCATGAAAGAAATGTTACTACCTTGAGCCTACCATACCGTGAGGAAGCCCAGGCTAGTCACATACAGAGGCCACTGAGGAATCTGGATAATAGTTGGAACCAAAGTGCCAAATGCTTGGCCCCTGTTCAACCATCCCTCACCATTTGAGCCCACCAACTGACAGCTCCAGACATTAGGAAGCATAGATAAGCCATCCCTTCTCTGTCTGCCAGAATTCCTGACTCATACAATCATGAGCAAATAAGACAATTTCTTTTTTAAGCCACTAAGTTTTGGGAGATTGTTAGGCAGCAGTAGATAACTGAAACAAAACCATTGCCTTCAGAGTTCCAGAATGGTGCCAGGTTTTACGTGGGTAAAATTGCTTATTATTGAAGGATCCCCAGTCAGAACTTCTTTGGTTTGACTCTCACTGATCTCATTAATTAGGACACATACTCATCAATGAACCAATCACTGTGGCCAAAGTGTTTTCTCAGGCCAGGGCTACATATTCATCCCTGGAATGTCACCTGAACCACGGAGATGGATGTATTAGTACAATAAAGGGAAATAGACTTAAGGCAGGCAGAAAAGATGGATATCCACTGTTAAAACAAACAAACAAAGAATTGTGATGCCAAGTTCTGGTCCATTGTCCAAAATTCCAATTATAGGATATACTAGAGAAAAGTCATTCTTTCCATTGTAACTTCATGATTCTTTGGCCAAAGAGGAGTAGCTGGAGAGAAGACACATTGGAATCTGA